GGCAGTCCGAGCGTACTATTTAGATCCTTGAGGATATGCTTCGGGGTTGTGTCCTTGACTTTAGTGGGACGTGAGAGAGGCACTTGCCATTGGTAGAGTTTGCCTATAATAACAGTTTTCAGTCTAGCGTCGGTATGGCACCGTTTGAGGCCTTGTATGGCCGACCGTGTAGGTCTCCAGTTTGTTGGGCCGAGGTGGATGATGCACCTTTGTTGGGTCCGGATGTGGTTAGGGAGACGACGGAGAAAGTTGAACTTATCCGTAGGAGGCTTGTTACAGCCCAGAGTCGTCAGAAATCTTATGCTGACCGTAGGAGGAAGCCTTTAGCGTTTGAGATAGGTGATCATGTCTTTTTGAAGATATCACCTAGACGAGGTTTGATGAGGTTTGGGAAGAGTAGGAAGTTATCCCCTCGATTTATTGGCCCTTTTGAGATCATTGAGAGGATTGGGGAAGTCGCTTACCGTTTGGCTTTACCGCCGCAGTTGTCCGGGGTGCATGACGTCTTTCATGTTAGTATGCTTCGGAAGTATGAGCCGGATCCATCACATGTGTTAGATTGGACCGACTTGGAGGTAGATGAGGAGCCTCGTATGAGGAGAGGCCGGTTCGGGTCTTGGATAGGCGGGATCAAGTCTTGCAAGGCAAGACCATTCCCTTGGTAAAGGTTTCGTGGAAACATCACGGAGTGGAGGAGGCCACTTGGGAACGTGAGTTGGAAGTCCGCGAGAAATATCCGGACTTGTTTGTGTAATCTTGTATTTAGACTTTGTAGTATTGTTGGACTTAAGAGCTTTATATATGTCTTAAGTTGTAAAACATTGGTAGTGTTTTGGTTTAATGGGAGTATGTTGTAGAACTTACTTTGATATGGGAAGTTGATTATGATATTGCGTATGTTGGCTATATTATAAAATTGGAGTTGTATCATGTATGTTGACTATGAAATGAACTGTGAACCATGTATGTTGAGAATGGTTGGAAATGGAAGAAAATTGCATGTTGATAATGCACTTGTAATATATTTTGTGAAATGCCTCTTGAAAAGAGATGGAATTGACCGGTAATGGGTCGGAATGTTTAATATTGGGTTGAAATGTTGTTAGAAATGGAGAAAACTTTTTTTTGAAAAACTTGTGTTTAATTTCGGGGACGAAATTCTTTAAGGGGGGGAGGTTATAGCGATCCCGGTTTCCCTTTTCATTGGTTGTTGTGTACATCTCGTTTACATCCTTTACTCTTTGTATTTGAGTCTTGGATTGTGTTGGACAGGTGTATAACAGGTTGGTTGAGCTTAGGAACCAAGTGTAGTTGCCCAGATTTTTGGCCTTCACGCTTGAGTGAGGATTTTGACGCTTGAGCGGGCCCTTCATTGTTGTCTGTCCGCTCGAGCGGGGTTTCCAAAGCTCGAGCGTAGTTTTCCATCTTCCAGTATCTCCTCTGCAGTGCTATGCACTCGAGCGGGAGTTTGGACGCTCGAGCGAGATGTTGTGTGTGACGCTCGAGCGGGGAGGTTTGACGCTCGAGCGAAGACCTGGTTCTGTAAAAGTTCTGGGAGTGTGTATCCGCCGCTCGAGCGGGAGTCTGTGAGTGACGCTCGAGCGGGGGTTTGGACGCTCGAGCGGGGCGACTTTTATATAAATCCGAGATCCGACTTTTGGATCACTTTTTCAACTCCTTTTCTCTCTCTTACCTTTTTCCAAAAAGCCATTTTCAGAGCTTCTCACTCTTAAAACCGGCCCTTCTCTCTTTAGATTTGACCTAGTAGGAGTTGTTTGCTCACTTTGGTCTTTACGAAAGTTTGTGTTGATCGTCGAGGGCTACATTTTAATCTGAAAATTTCGGAATTTGAAGCATTTTGGTTTTGTGTCTCATCTCCATGGAGCTCAAACTTTTGAGTAAGGGATATCCTACTCCTCTTTATGAGCTTGTTCTTAAATTTTAGTATTTTGAATGTTGGGTTGGTTTAGTAATTTGTGAAAGTTTGGGGGCTTCTGGTAAATTTACAAGAGCTGGGGTTGTAACTATATCAAACCTAGAGCATGTTTGGCATGGAAAATGTGAAATTAATGTTAAGACATTATGAAATGGAACCTAATGGTTTGTAATGTAAATTATGGAAAATGCCCTAATTACAATTGGTTAATTAATTATGGGAAAAATGAGGAATTGATTTGGGAAGTCATGGGATAAAAAGGTGTAGTTGGATTATTTATCACTCACCGAGTTGGAATGTTGATTATATATCCATTTGCATTTATTTTCTGTTATAGAAATAACTGCTTTGGGCTATCGGTGGAGGATAGTCTTGATTGTTGTAGACAAGCATGATTATAGGCAAACTAAAACAATCGATTGAATGTGTCATAGAGTATGACGGTGGATTGAATACATTAATTTTATGTATTGATTGATTGTGTATAGAACCTTTGTGTTTATATGCATTGTGTGTATAGAGGAGAAGATTGGGGATGTACTCCGCGGTTTAGGGGGAAGATGGGGGATGTACCTCTAAAACGGATAGGATTGGAGGAGATGGGGATGAACTCCGTAGAGACAGCTCATATGCTTGTCTAGAGAAGTGAAGATACAGCTCATAGGCTTATCTTTGAGAAGTGTAGATACAGCTCATATGCTTGTCTAGTGAAGTGTAGATACAGCTCATATGCTTGTCTATGAAGTGTGGATACAGCTTATATGTTTATCTGTTGATGCGTAAGATGTTTATCTGTTGATGTGTTTGATAATAGCTAATATGCTTATCTATTAAATAAGGATGGAAAATGGAAAGTGACATAGACTCATATGTTATGAAATTGTGACGTGATATATGCGGATGTATCGGTGTGCCATCTATCAATTGCTAATCTTTTTAGTCATTGCTCATAGTTGTTTAGATATCTCTGCTGGGCTGTGGCTCACCCTATATGGGAACATCATTTTCAGTTACAGGTAGCATGCCACCTCCAAGGACGTAGCTTGGGAGGCTAGAGGCGGGCAGACTTTTGTTGTCTTTTCCCTTTTGATGTATTACATGTATATTCAAGCCAAGGGCTTAATGTGTAAATGAGTTAGTACTCTTTTGTTGTAACCAAGTGTTAGCTTGGAAAGCTGTAAGCCTTTAGGGCATTTGCTTTTGTTGTTAACATGTAATACTTTTTGTAATGAAACTCTATTGGATAGAAGAATGTGGAACTTTTATATATATCAATGCATGTCTATATTGATGGGTTTAATGTTATTATTTTGAGGGCGTTACATAATACACATCTCGGCCTTGGTGGTGAACACCTCGGCCTAGATGATGACATCTCAGCCAACATGCCTTGGGGAAGGTGTAGGTTAACCAAAGTGGTTCCAAGATGGTTCTAAGCCTAAGGTGACCTCGGCTTGGATTAACCTAGGCTAAACACACACACCAAACAAGGAACAAAGCATGCAAGTAACAAAACATGCAAGTAACACTTATGCAAGACAGATCAAGGTTTTGCAAATGCAACATATCAAGACAAGATCATGTAATATATGCAAGCATGACTAGAGCAAAGTGACGGTTGTTACAGGTACAATAAAGGTTTGTTAATATAGTGAAATCTAAAAAAATTAGGGTACGGATACGACTTGATACAAGTTTATGTAACCACATTAAATTACTCATTTCAGTAGTTCTGGATATTAATAAGTGGGTAAACATTAAATTTTCATTCCTTTTAGGCCTCTTTTGGTAATTACATGTTTTAGCTAAAAAGTTAAAAAGTTACTATAAGTTGTCACATTACTCTCTCTACTATTTTCTACGTCTTTTCATAAAAAGCAAAAAAATTACTAAAATAGCTTGTTTCCAAATGAGGCCTTAGTGACACTATTATAAGGTATAATACTTTTTTATTGGTGATTGTATGAAGGCCCAATACGGATTTCGTTTCGATAATCTGAAAGTAGAAATTGTCAAGTATTATATGCCTATAAAAAATCTCGTTGATCGGATATCGATAGCTACGTGATCAAATCAGTTTTGTATAAAAAAAATAAATGGTGAAAAAATAAATGGTTGACAGAAATTTGATTCGATGAGAGAGCTATCGATATCCGATCAACATGATTTTTTACAGACATATAGTAATCGACAAGTTTTATATATTGAACGGTTCAGATTATCAAAATGAGACCTGTGGTAAGCCCCCACGGGCCCCAACAGTACCCTCTAGTCCAATCACGAACTGGAGGAAAGCCCAGCCCTATATTAGAAGGTATAATACTTTTTTATTGGTGATTGCAGTCCACAAGTATATATATTAACTATGTGTTGATTGTTTGGTTACCATTTTTGTCCACGTTTGTTTTATTAGTTTTTTTTTTAATTATAGTTATCTATTTAAAATACTATTTGCATTTTGTATTTTTATACAACTTTTGAGGTTAAAAATCTCACAGGGGAAATATCATTGGAAATCACAAATTTGCAGAGTTTGGAGAATTTAAACCTCTCCCTCAATAATCTCTCTAGTCTCATTCCAAAGGGTTATGAAGATATCCATGGCTTGGCGTTTATTGATATATCATATAATCAGTTGCAAGGTCTTATTCCCATGAGCAACGCCTTCATGAATGCATCAATAGAAGCACTGCAAGGGAACAAAGGTTTGTGTGGAAATGTCAAAGGCCTGCAGCCTTACAAAGTTCCTTCTGCATTGCACAAACACACTCTAGAAAAAAGGACACATGTTCTTGTAATCGTGCTCCCTTTTGGTGGAGCACTCTTACTTCTAGGTGCATTCATTGGACTTCTCATCATGTTCAATTCAAGAAACACAAAGTCACAAGGTGAGGAGGGTGACACCCAACCCTGGAAAGAAGATTTGTTATTGATATCAATATTCGATGGAAGAGCAATGTATAATGACATTGTAAAAGCTACCCATGATTTCGATGCCATATAATGCATTGGAAAAGGAGGACTTGCCTACAAAGCGAAGTTACCATCAGCTAATATAGTAGCTATGAAGAAACTTCATCCGTTATCTGAGAGGGTTGATAGGAAAGATTTCTTAAATGAGGCAAGGGCATTGACAGAAATTAAGCATCGAAACATAGTGAAGCTTTTTGGGTATTGTTCACATGCTCGGCGTTCTTTTCTAGTTTATGAGTACCTCGAAAGAGGTAGCTTGGCTACAATTTTTAACAAAGATGAAGAAGCTAAAGAAATGGATTGGCCTAAGAGGGTGAATATTATTAAGGGTGTAGCAAGCCCTTTGTCATACATGCACCATGATTGCACACCGCCCATTGTTCACCGACACATTTCTAGCAACAATGTTCTGATTGACGAGGAGTATAAGGCTCGTTGTAACACGTCCGCGAGGGACCCCGCTACAGTTCGGACTCAATTTTTTGTTTGCGGTTCTTAATCTGAACCAAAGAGTCCAAATCCGGCAAATCATTTTGAGAAACAGATTTTTGAAAAGAAGTGCCAAACATGGACTGCTTTGCCAGATACAGAGTCGCCACCTAAATATTTTTTTAATGGGGAAATTTAGGAAACCCTGACGCGGTGTCAAAGGCCATATGTCCGTCATCACCGGAGTTGTCTCGGCTCGGGAGCTTGGGTACGATCGGGGAAGGTCAGCTATGAGCACCCCCTCTCGCCCGGTCCGAAGACCGCCTTACTAACCATGATATCCGATTTTGAAAACTTACGTGTTCTTATTCCATTTATTAGCCTAGAATTACTATGTTATGCGCGCCACAAACAAGTATAGACTAGATTGCCTAATTTGGAAATAAGCATTTGCATATCCGTTCGGTTTTGAAAAGCGCTTTGGAATTTGCTACTCGCAAGTAGGCTAAAAACGGATTTCAACGAGTTTTTCCAACTCAAACAATCCAACCTCCACCCACAGGCATTAAAACAATTTAACACATAAGCACTTAGCCGCCATGGCAGGCAATCTGTCATGGCAACACTCACACGCATGCGGGATGCTAAAGAATAATATTACATCGTACTCTGTGCCAAAACAATAAACTAGTTAGCAAAACATGCATGTCCTAGTTCATGTCAATTTGACTAATGCAACACATACAGGATGCAACTAGATAGGCTCGGCTGATTCCTAAATATGGCATGTGAAATGCGATCAATCGATGCACGTATTCAATTTGGAATTAAAGTACAAATGCAGTTAGTGTGATGTACCGAGCCTAGTGCATGCAATACAAATGCATGAATGCACGCAAGCATAGCATAAGGTATGCTAAATTAAACGTTCCCTAATACTAACCATCAAAGCAGGTAGTAAAAGGGAAGAAAGAAGTGGGGATTGGAAGACATACACACCACTTTACACACACTTATTACAGATTTTTCCCTCCGCTCGGAGGGACCAAATAAATAATACAAATTAATTAACTACGCAAGCTAATTAAATTATACAAATTGCCTAATCAACTAAGCAAATTAACTTAAGCTAAGAAAACAGTAAATCGCCTCGGGAAATGCGCCGCCATGCATGAGCTGCCTCTGTTTTCCTTCCTTCACTCCTCTGGAGGTTGTCAAAACCTCAGACTGCTTCTCTGGACATTGAGGAGTGCCACTGGCTGAATAGAATGCCACCGGCAGTGTGGTGTAGTCCACCGGCACAGATGAATCCATCGGCTGCTCGTTTACTGCCGGTCGGCAATATATACTGCCGGTCGGCAAGGAATGCCTGCAGAACCTGCAATTGACAGCAACAGAGGGCAAGGCAAAGCATGGCAGCACAATTCAAGGCATGTATGCACCAATCATGCCCCCTATCATGGTTGTACTCAAAGGACATGTGTCTCGATTCTCGGACCACCAATCACGCATTTCCATGCATGATGGCCCAAGGGATCAATATGCAACTTTCTTGTCAAATGAAATGCAAACCCTACAAACAAACCAAGGCCCAATTCCCATCACAACTCAAGGAACAAGGCATGCATGCAAGATGCAAAGCACCTAGGCATACAAGCTAAGGATGCAACATGGCATGGCAAGGCACTTATGCAAGCATACAAGCAACATGTGCAATGCAAATGGATGAAAAGATGGACTTATACAAGATTTGGGCAGCTCTATAAGGCCCAAAACAGTGGCCAAAGTGCTATGAATATGAGGCTAAATGGCATGCAAACATGCATGCACACAAGGACCAACATCTTAAGCATAAAGGCAACTCTCAAGCACACTTGGGAGAGCATAATGTGGGCTAATGCATGCAAAGTAAACAATGAATATGCATGAATTAGAGGTTCCAAACCAACCAATTACAACAAGCAATGCTGCTAGCATGATCAAAGCTCAAAGCAAGCTAAGGGAGTATTGAACTACACTTAGCAAGACCAAACATGGCATGAACTTATTGACCAAAAACAGAGTTTTAGCACATTAAGACAAGGCCTAAAGACCACTTAGATGGCATCCAAATGACCTAAATTCCAAAGCATGCATAACCACCAAAACAAGGAGCATGCAAGACAAGCTTTCAAAGCATTAAAGATGCATCCAAGGTGAACATATAGGCATGCAAATAGGACTGAAATAGCATGGTAGGTGGTTCCAAATCACCAAATCAATGCAAAAATGTCATGCTATACATTCACATACTTGAGGCCAACAAGCCGGAATGCAAAGGGGCTATACTAAGCATGCCAAATCCGACCCAAACAACCATGGACAGACCTAAAACATGGCAAAATATGTACAAAAGCTTCACAAGACTAAGCCTAAAACATGCTCCAACAAGGGCTAACAACCTAAGGCACATTGAGGCAATAACATGGCATTACATGGTAGGTATGCTAAGCATGCATGGTGTACCAAAACCAACAAAAATCAGAGGCATAATATGACATATTAAGCACAAAAAACAGCTAAGGCATGATCAACATGAAGCCTAGCTAGGTGCTCTCTCAAGAGGCCAAAAATGGTCCATTTTAAGGACAACAAGGGGAGGGGATGGCCCTCTCCTTTTGGAGACTTCAAGGCACCATCTCCACCACTGAAATCCCTCAAGATTTCAGTGGTGAAGAGGCCCAAACACCAAAGTCTCGAAGCTTGCTCAAAATAGCACAAAATGAGGCCTTTCAAGGCCTAAGAGGGGTCAAACACCCTCAAACCACAAAACACCCTTAATAAACAATCAAGAGGGTCTAAAAATAGAACTTGCTTGTATTATACACCAAGCTCAAAAACGAATTTAAGACAGGTAAAAATACAATGCAAGATTGGGGTAAAAAGGGATAAGATTCTCACCTTTGAAGACCTCTTCAACAATGGTGCTCCAATGGCCCTCTTTGGCTTGAATCCAATACCAAAACACTAAAACCAGTCCTTTAGAACCTCAGTAGCTATAGGAAGGTGAAACACTATGTGTTTGTGTGCAATAGTAAGACACAAACACACTTTAACACACACAAGAGGGAAAAAGAGAGAGATAATGTGTATCAAACCCTAACCCTAGAACTCAAACCCTAACAATGGCTGTCTAAGCTCTCTCAAGTGTCTCAAGTGTCTAACCCTAAGGCCAAGAGAGAAGACTCTCTCTTATAGAGCCTTATTGTCTTGTAAAGCTTACAAGACAAGCTTCATAAGAGGGAGATCCCTCCATACACGTGTATGGAGGGGAGCAAAAAGCAAGACATTGTCTTGTAAGCTTTACAAGACAAAAAGCTTCTATGCTGGTTTCTCAAGTTGCAAATATCTGCAAAAGCAGATGCACAGTAGTCAGCCGGCCAAAAATTCCATCTTGGCAAAAAAGAGTGCCGACCGGCACTAAATAGTGCTGACCGGCAACAAATAGTGCCGGCCGGCAATATACATTGCCGGTGGCAGCAAAAACCAGCCGGTGGCCTCTAGCCACTGCCGGTGGTGTATGGGGATGCCTCACAAGGCATTCCCTGCCCTTCCAAGGCAAAACACAAGTGTTTGGTGTGAAACCAAACACTAAACAGTTGAGTCCGGAGATCCTGAGGCAAGGCGCGCGAGCCGAGGCCTCCGGGAACTCCAAACGAACACAATCATGGATAATCACCGAGTGTTCAAACGGTGACGTCCAAGTCTTGAGGACAGTCAAAAATGGGGTGTCTACACTCGTGTTTTGGACTTTGGCACTACCAAGCTTTTGAAGCTAGATTCCTTTAACTGGAGTGCATTTGCAGGCACATACGGATATGTTGCACCAGGTAAACATAGTTTTATGCTCTCCTAAATTGACATAGAATCCGAAGCATAACAAAACAAGTGCATTACCATGTCTCTCTTTTTTTGCAAAGCTTGCTTACACAATGAAGGTAACTGAAAAGTGTGATGTCTATAGCATTGGTGTGTTGGCATTGGAAGTAATCAAAGGAAAGCATCTGGGAGACTTCATAATGTCCTTGTTGACCCTAGCTATTGAGAACATATAGCTAAAGGATGTGTTGGACCAACGCCTTTCACCTCCCTTCCCCTAAAGTTGACGAGGTAATGATTTGTAGTGTAAAATTGGCAATCGCATGTTTGCATGTCAATCCACAATCTAGTCCAACCATGCACATTGTTTCTCAATTGTTATCCACCCGAAAAATTTCGTAGAGCCTCACCTATGTGCACAGAATTGCTGCCCATGAAAATGCACAGAATTGATAACTTTCGTAAATTATTTTTTATGTATTAATGTAATATTTATTATATTATTATAATTAATTTTATTTTAAATATTTGAATTTTATCATTATATGTTTAGAAGTGAGTTAAAAAAAAAAAAAACAATGATCTCTTTTTATTTTAAAGATATGATTAACTAAATATATTAGTGAGAAGTATAAATCATTCGTTAATTTTTTTATATGTACTTTCCTTCTCTATTCTCATACGGTACACTTTGCTTGGTTAGAGTTTTCCAAAAATAGTTTTCAGAAAATTCTACTGCGTTTTTTGTTTTTACTGAATTCTTTTAATATTTTAAGTAATTTTTAAAATTTGTAGACATACCTAACATAAATATATCTAAAAACTAAAAAATTTGTGAAATTGTTTTTTAAAAATTCACTAAATACCAAAAATAAAAAAAAAAAATTATGAGAATTCGGTACATTTATTTTTATTTTTATGTATAAATATATTTTTTAAAATACTTTTTACAATTTTTTTACTTTTTAGATACATCTAAATAAGGTGCATCTAAAAAAATAAAAAATATATTTAAAATTTTAAAAATATTTACTAAAAACAAAAAAATACAAAAATGAAAAAATTCAATTTTCAAAAAATTTAACTAAAAAAATTCAAACCAATCACACTCATTAGTTTTACCGTTAATTTTTTGCAATCAGAGATGTTT